GAAGGTGCAATGTAGTTCTAAGGAGATAAAGAAAGTCATAGATGGATGGATGGAACCAATAGAGACTGAAGCTTGATGGCTTCTCCTAGGTACAGGATTCGAATTCCCCTTCTACGCTGTCTTGCTCTCTCTCTCTCCAGGCCAGGTTAGAATACACAGAGTAAGACCTCCAACGGACATAATGAGCTCCTCACCCCACCAAGTAAAAGTGCATCTTAAAGGACTCAACTTTCCTTAGCTCGAGACCCATGGCCCTGCTGGTGCTCCTGGGCTGTGAGATGCAAGATGAGTGAGGATGCGGACTGAGGGAGCTGCCCTAACCCTCCCAGATCGCTGATCTCATTTCTTTTCCTAATAAGGATATGCACACACCTCCCAGGACTACCATTGCCATGACAACGGCAGGAATTGAGGGTGAGCGGGTTAGTGGAACAGCGAGGGGGATTTCTAAATTCTCAAACAAGGCCCAAGGCTGGACTCGCTCATGAAGTGGAAAAATTCATGTTGGCAGTTCTCCTAAATGGATTCCAAAACACTTAAGACCATGGCTTCTATCTGGGGGAAGAGTAAGAGATGGGGTCTCCATGGAAGCCCTCCGTGGGGGCCTGATTTTGTTAGAAGGATACAAATTCCTAAGACAATTAAGAGCCTGAATGCCCCCTTAAATCTAGGACACATAAGCTCTGTCCATTTTCCACAGAGCAAAGAGATGTGGCAAACCAGGGCAACAACATCCCCCAAGGACACAAAAAGACAGGCACTTAAAAAAAAATCTGTATAATAGAGCCCTCCCAAAGAAACAACTCAGAACGACTCAGACCTACATTCTGAAGCTGAAAGACAGACTCGCACCTTGAAAAACCGTGGAAACAGCTACCATGTAGTAGGCTTTGTAATATGTGTGTACTACCTCATTTACCCCTTGCAACAACTCCATAAAGTAGACACGACTATTATCTCCATTTTACACAGGGAGAAACTGGGAATCAAAAAAGTGAAGTATTGCACCTGCTGGGTGGCAGAGCTAGGGTCCAAAGGAGGGCCCCTCTGGCTCAGAGCCTGGGCTCTTAGTGATTCTCTCCCACACGGGAGGCTTCCTGCTTCTTGCAATAATCAGAAGCTGATGCTTCCTTGCATGGTTTCTGAGCCTCCAAAGATATCAGACAACCTCCAGAATATTTACTCTTGAGTCTCTAGACCAGTTATTAAACTTTAGGGCTTACCAGTCTCATATGGAGGGCTTGTTAAAATGGATGGCTGGGCCCCACCCTGAGGATTCCTGGCTCAGTAGGTATTGCTAGTGCTGCTGCCGCCCTGCAAACCATCCTTTGAGAACCACGGCCTCCTCACTTTCCAAACTAAGGTTCTCTAACTAAGCCTCACTGCCTTAGCTGCCTCATCTATCTAATTAATCTTTCACTGTTCAGTCCTGGGTCCCCTGGGGTGTTGCTTGACAAGCTATAAAGTTATCTTTGGTAGTGCTGTGTGTTTGGGAATTCCCGGAGCTCTTTTGAAAATACAGAATAGCTCCCGCTCCAAAAATAATTTACTTTTGCCTTAGGTAAGTCCTGAGATCCCATCAACTGCAGAAAGAGGAGCCTGGATGACCCAGTGGTAGAGAGCAAAGCAGCCCGGCGCCCTGACCCCAGACCAGCTCTCTCGAGGCAGGGGCAGGGTTTTTTTTTTATAACCTCTTGGGACTCCCTCTAGGAACCAGTCACAAAAGGGCACTCACTAAAACCTCTTTGGAGCACCCACACTGAGTAAGTTAGGGTTGTAAACATGAGTGACTGGCCCTTTAATGCCCCTCTCCCCAAAACACATCCCTCCATTGGGAGAGGAGGCCTAACTTGATGCCCTGCGCTCCCTGTTTAGCTCCTTTTCTCTCTCTGCTCAGTCTCCCAGGAAGCTGCGAAAGAAGGAGGAAGCCCGTGGTCCAGGTCTGCTCAGACGGAGAGGCTGGAGAAAGGGGCCCAGAACCAGGATTAACAGATTTCATGTCTGGTTTGTTCATCTTGTGGGACATGTCACCTGGTGATGTTCCCACTGATCCCTTCAGAGCAGGGCATCTGATCCTAGGCTTTTGTGGACTGTGAAAAATAAATGGACAGTAGCAACAAAGGAAAGGAATTCATCAATGGAGGAAAAACAGCTGCAAGGAACACATGGGACTGAGGATCGCGGCACAGCAGCTCTTGCTCCTTCATGCCCGTGACTGGCGCTGAGTGGGGGCTGGTGTGAGAAGGTGCCCGTTCATGAGGCCATGAGGTCTCAGGCACAAGCGTATGGAGACTCGGGCACCAGGAGGGAGCCTTTTGGAAGCACATACACCTTCATCGTGAAGCACTAAAGGACAACAGAATCAATGAAAGGCAGGCTCTACTAGAAACAACCAATTTGTTTGAAGCATTTTCCTTTTCTTTGGGCAGAACTAATAAATCCTCCTCATTTCATGCCCAAGAGGGTGGCCAGAGGGTAACAGGGCTGTTTAGACGGCACGAGGATTCAGAAAGTCTTAGAGGGTCTGTCTCCGGGTCTACATATGAGAACTGTTGTTCTGGCCACCAGGTTATTAAGCAAGTCCAGCCACATCACAGACTGCACAAGAGTCCCAGAAAAAAAGGAGTAAAGAGATTAGACACCTACTAATATTGTATATCAAGCACTGTATTCAACTCTTGCTTCTTCAGTTATCATGGCAACTCGATAAGATACGTGTTATGATTATACCCAATTTACAGGCAATGTTACTAAGAAAACATGAACTTGAAGCAATTTGCTTATGCTCGCCCCGCCAGCAAGTTTGGAATTGTGATTCAGTTCAGATCTGATGCCACATCGTAATCTTAACCCTTATACCCCATTCCCTTCAAACAATGCAGAACATATTCTGAGACCTATAAAACCTCGAAGTACCAAAGGACAGAAAAGAAGGCAGAGGAATGTCTCTTTAACTTCATATCATTGCTATCAAGCTTTGCTGAGAAGTGTGGTGTGGTCACCCATGGAGCAACAGGAAGATGTAAGCTCTGCCCAGCTCAGTCCATGAGGCCCGTGACTGAGGAATCAGTGGCCTGGCACAGTCCTGGAGAGCAGGGACTATGCAGAGGGGCTGGGACAGCAGACCAGGGAAGCGATGGAAGCTCCTTCCCTATCTTCTGTCAGGGAGATGGGTTCCTAACATTCTTTTGAATCTGAAGGAGAGACTGTGGCCAGATGTAAGTGAAATATCAGCAGACAATTCCTATTTCACATTTGCCTAGGAACATACACCAACCAGCATCATCAACGAAAGGGAGAATGTATTCAAAGTTAGTTCTTGGTTCACCAGACTGACCTACGAAGCCTCTATGGGAACAAGAAAAACCCTGACACGAAGATAGCAGGGCATGACGTCGTGTGGCTGCTTTCATTGGGTAGTTCTCACCTTTCCAGATGCCTCCCCATCCTGCAATACTTGGCAGCCTAACCCAACCTACTCTTCCGTCACCTCTTCACTCCATCATTGGCACTGGAGCTGCAAATTTGTCAATGAATGTTTTTCCCCTTGCCATCTGGCAATTTTAGCTCCCTAATGAATTGCTTTAACTTGTGCATTTGTTTTTTTGTTTTTTTTTTTTTGACAAATGTGACTTTTAGTTGAATTATGCAACATTCATAAATAGCAAATGCTGGCTGATTAGAATCAATGAAAGCCCTTCGAGCTGCCAGCAAAAATGGGATCTTAACTGCACACGTTGCTTGGATAGCCCAAACATTTGAAAGGCACCTGATTATTTTTACACACAAACTTATGTCATCTGTTACATATACAAGTATGTATTTGAATTTGGATGAATTCTTGCAAGCCAGCCATGCTCTGCATATAAGTGCTGGATACACTTGGTTTTGAAGCAAGACAGGCTTGGGTTTGAATCCTACTTTAGTCACTTACAAACGTCTGCCACATGAACCTGGGTATGTTTATTAACCTCTGTGTCTCTAGTTTCTCATATGTAAAATAGAGATACTAAATCCTTTGTGAGACTGTCATGACCAGTAAATGAAATCACACATGCAGTGTGCATGGCACAGAGTCTGGGTATATCATGACTCAATAATTCATTAACTATTATCATCATCCTGGTGTTCTATTCATAGTAGATTATGGTAGACACCACTTGCAGTCTCCATAATCCTTCCTTTCAGAAAACTGCCACAGGGATGAGCCTTCAAAGTCATATTTTTATTATACGCTACTGCTTTACTGATTGAGCAAGAATGAGGGAACCAAGGAAATGTGACTTGAAGCAATTTTTCTACACTCACCCAGCCACTGGGCTCTTTATTCAACCTGGCATATTCTTTTTCCCAAAAGTTTGAATTAGGAATTGGTCTTCAGTGGTCCTCTGAACGAAGAAACTGTGAGGCAGTCATGCTTGACAACATGCATGTTAAGGTGGTAGAGGTCAGTCCACAGAGTGATGTAGTTGTACAGAAAGAAGCAAATCTGACTTTGACTTTAAGTCAAAGAGAGTGATGCCTTTGTTCTGATACCTTTCGACTTCCATGAGAAATCCTGTTCCATCTATCTATCATCTATATTTCATCATCTATCTATCTATCTATCTATCTATCTATCTATCTATCTATCTATCTATCTCCCTCTTGCTCACTACTCTGAGTGGGTTTCAACTGTTTTCAACAAAAAGATCTTTGCTCAGTGTCATCTCTGCACATGAGGCCACCAAATCTTCTCTGTGAAACTTGGAGAATCTAATCATTTGAGAATTACCTGGTTATTCTAGAAAATTACACACACACACCCCTTATATTATCTTTTTTCAACTCTTAAAGGACACTAAGTAGAAAATCAAAACAATCATGTACGTAGGGAAGTCATACATGTAAGGAAAATAAAAAATAAACAGAGAGCCATTAACATTCCCGGTCTTACAAAGCCTGGTCCCCCGATCACATCCCAGAGCCCCAGTAAGAAAGCAGAGACCCTGGGCCTTTACCTGGTGTCGCACTGGATACTGTTGGCCACTGCTGATCAGGCCCTCCCGGCCCAGCCCGTAGAATACCAGCTTCCTCCAGGTGCACAGAGCTGAGTGAACACACAGACCCAAATAACAGTTAGACCATAAATGCCTTTCCAGATCTCATTCCTCCCTCAGAAAGTGCTTACACCTCCACAGGCAGGACCTGCCCTACCGGCGCTCAAACACAAGCAATTACTGCTGAGCAGTCACCTTGCAGAAACGGCAAAAGCATCGCTGACTTACTGCCTGCTATATTCAGGCAGTAAACATTTTTTATCTTTATGGCAATTTTGGTTTTCATTAATGCCATGGTATTCATTTAATCTAACTGGAAACCCATCAGAGGGCTAATGTTTTAACATCTTAATGCTGAGACAGATGAGGAGAGCTGTTCTAAAAGCCCCAAGCCTCTCTTGCTGGTTCTCTTGTTTCTGAATTCTCTAGAGCAAAGAGGAAAAATACACAAAAATTATTTGCTGATAACTGTAGTATTATTCCATCTTGGCTACCCAATTAATTCTTAACCTTATATTCTGTTTTGCTCTTTCTGTGTTTTTTACTCATAGACGACCCACCCTACATTTAGGGACTAGAGGAAACTTACACCACTACTCACAGATCCCAGTTCAGAAGAGATCAACTCATCATGAAACATGGCAGGGAGTGAGAAGTGAATTGGGAGGTCATTAGAGGCCAACAGACAGAGAACAGAGACTGTTCAAGGGTAGAGGGAACATCGTAGTCATCATTAGTGTATATGTGATGCTAGCACGTAGTAGACCTTCAAATATTTGTTGGATGAGCGAAGGGAGGAAGTTACAAATGGGATTCTAAGGGTAAATATTATTCAAGAAAACTCTTACTGAAATTAGAGGACTCTTTTAAACTAGACATTGGTTCATCTTGCAAATTGAGTTGCTAAAATGAAACTTATACTACCATCTGAAGGGGTTATGTGGGGCAAACTTGAACTACTGTGGGGGAGGGCCATCTATATAGTTTAATGTTCTTTTACTCTTTGGAAATTCAGTTAATAAGCTGTGTCCTATTGCTATTATCCCCTTCATCCACATCCTAGAATCTTCCCTTTTTTCCAAATATTAATATCCTTCGGATGTTCCTAGATGGGTTCAGTCAGATTCATTCTGAAGGTGAAACTACCCTAACACCAGCTCAGCTCAAAGCAGAATTTTCAAAGGAACAGTAACATGATGCTTGAGGTTGGAAAGGCCAAGAAGCCAAGCACATGTGTGAAAAGGACGAGTTCTATTTAAGTTCACAACTCTAATATATGGTCAATGTGCTATGTGGTAAGTGACAAATTATATTTAGAAAGCTAAAGAAAAAGATAAAGAATTTCATTTCTTATCCTACTTAAATCTCATATCTTAATTGAAACCTGACTAGGGACCCATTTGGCTTTTTTCTTTTATAAGAGGGGTAAGAATATGATATGTCTTAGCATTTCAATTTAAATGTAGCTTTTAAGGTAGATCTCGTCACTTTAGCACTTTTCAAGTAAAGCACTAATTCAGTTGGGAAAGAGTTGGTATGACAATCCATGCCTTTCATGTTGCACAGTTCTACCACAGCAGCTCGGAGGCAGGCAAAAGCATGAGCTGGTCTCTACCAAACCTAAAACATCCTTCTGATATATATTATTATGATAGGCCTAAAATTATGACCCAGGTTCCAATGTAACATCTCAGCAAGCCAACTACCAATCTTCAGCCCTTCACTGATTGCTTCCCATTTAGAAATAGCAGCCAGTATCATGATTTCTGCTCAATTTGTAACATAATGCTTAAGAATATGTTAATTAATTTTGATTTAATGTATTTTAATCAGCTAAAACTAGTTTTTCATTAACTCAACACATACTTTCTAAGCCCTCTCTTCAGAAATTGATCTAGGTTTGGTGAGGAGCAACCCAAGAGTTGCCCAGATATTTTGAGGGGCTTAAGTTTGAAGTTTATTTCTTTAGAACAAAATCCTTTGGGTGGTAGCAATAGTTGGTTTCTTGGCCCTCTCCATTTGGTTTCCAAAGACACTCACAAATAATGAACCTTTAATTTCACCCTGTGGTACGGACACTAGACCAGCTCTGGGAATGATGGTTGTTAATCAATTACTGTCAAAGAGACAAAGTAGAGAAAGCAAAATTACATTTCATCTGACTCTTTGAGTAATACTATTACTCTAGATTAATTTAAAGTAAGCTAGATTCGGTCTCCAGATATTTAATAAGGGCCCTTTACATGGCTCATCCTCCCAAGAGCCCATGACATTGATGGCCATAAGACAGCAACAAGATGGAAAAGATAAGACTTTAATCGGAGTGAACAAGAACAAGAATAATTATTAATTATTGTGGTCGATAGGCTATAATAGTGCATGTGCAATAGAAAATCAAGGTAGACAACACGTACATACACATCACAGAATATACTCAAGTCCAAGAGTGTCAGTATTAATTACAAGTTTTGCGGAAGTGGGGGGAAGCAGGCAGGGGAGCCTGAAAGTAGAGATGGGGAAGGGATAAAGGAAGTTGGAACTTCTTCCTTATAGAAATTCTGATCAGAGCAAGTATACAGCAGCCTGGCTCTTTGATTTTACAGGAGACTTATTTGTCAGCTCTTGAGAAGCATTTGGCACTGACCACTTCCAATGTTTCAAGGAATAGGTACAGACAAAAATAATTACATTCTCCTGGCAAACTGTCTAAAGCTTCTTAGTTTTGACAGCTGCTTCCGGCCCCTATGGAGACATAATTTATCTGAGCCTAACAAGTTCAAGTTACTTGGGACTGAAGGAAGGAGGAAAATACATACCTGTGCATTCCTGCTCTCAGGGAGGCAGAGTAACGCCAGTCAGGATTGGGCTGTCGTGGCTGCAAAATCACAAGGGGAGTGTTTGTTAATATGGCCACACAATGACCTCCCAGGGATGATTTTCACTGATTAGTTGTTTCTTCAATATTTCCATTCCTCTAACACAAGTACTGAAGGAGCCATTTCATGTGCAACTCTAAGATGAAATATTATTCATATTTTCAGGAGAAAACAAACCAGCCCAGCAGCATCCTCACACAGGCTACACAGCATGGGACGCTGGGTCCAATAATGCTGTGAGGAGCAGCTTTGTCTGTACCTTGCCCAAAACAGGTCTGTGTTCTTAAAGCAGCACCAGGGAAGGGCAGTCTGTTCTGAGACAGGAAAAGCTTTTGCTTTTGTCCTCAAATGCTCCATTAAGGGAACATCCCCAATTTGGTTTTCCAGCTGTAACAGGGCACATGACCACACACATTCTGCTGGCCTGGCTCAACTGCAGGGCCCTGCAATCTGCTGCCGGTTTGCAGACTGCAGCATGGCTGACCCAGGACGCATGTACCCGGTCAGAACACCAGCAACTGCAAACCGCCTCCTCTGCTGATTGAAGAGGACCGTGAGGAAGAGGAAAACCAACCACAGTGGAGTTTGACCTTGTTTTGTTAAATAACCCTCTTTGTGAAGTTGTACTTGTTCCCTGCTCCTCTGTGTGCTTTGCCTCCTCCCTCAAATACTGTTCGCTAAGCTCTAATTGTTTCACGGGGAGTAGCTGACATCTAGGCAGCAGCTGACTCATTCTGCACCGCCAATGTGTTGGAAAGAGCTGTTGCCCTGTGTCTACCAACTGTCAATCCAAAGTGGAGGGGGCAGAGAGGAAAATAGGGGCGCCTAAATACTGTTCTGGGAGTTATGTGTGCAGTTTAAGCTGCTCAGGAATCAGTGGGGACAAAAATCAATGACTACCACTATCTTGTATCAAATTAGAAGTTTTATATGAAAAACCTGTGATAGACGTGCTTCTTCATGGGTTATCATGGGCAGAGATTAAAGTGGTCCCACTGCTAAATACAGAGGCCTATGTGAATGAAAAGATGAGAGAGGTTGTATTCTACGCTTTTCTCTGGATTATAAGGATCACATTTGGTAGACACAAAGCCACAGTAACACCAATAAACTATTTCAAAATGTCAGTAATTCTTGTTCCTATCATTCTTATAGCTCATTTGTGGGATGCACAGTGTTTCATAAACACACTTCTTCACAACATCTAGAGAAGCAGTGATCAGCAGCTCAACTTCCAGACAGCCTTTGGGATGGCTAAATGCTATTCAAAGCCTCGGCCAAAGTCAAGGTCCAGAAATAGCTCCAGCCCTAAGATACTTTAAATGTCTCCACTCCCTAACTGCCCTCTCTGGTCCCTTTCACTGTGTTGGCAAGAAATGAACATGCAAGCTGCTGCATCTTTGTTTTTTAAGTTCACACAATGCTGTGGATATTTCCTATAAAGCAGCATAAAACCATCTACAGACCAAAGGACGGGGTTGCCGTTTTCTACCAGTGGTGGTAGAGGGAACAGGAAATATTTGCAAATCATTCTGTAAACCTGAAAATATGACTAAACTACTTTTTACTAATCAGATCATCACCATCTTTCACCTCACTGTCATCTGAGAACCTTCCTTCAGGAAAGATTTTGATATCTGTTCAGTCAATGTTGCCAATTTTTCAATGACTGGGTAACATTCATGATGAAAATGGCTGCAACTTGATCTTTGGAATGAAATCGCCAACCTCATTTTGCTGAGTGGCAAAGTTCCAGCAGGGCTGACCAGGAAATGCAGTTCATTACACAAATTCCCTTCCTCCGCAATGTTTAATTTGTCACACTGCTAATTTCTAGGCTAGTGCATCAGCAACAAGATGCTTCTGAGATTCATTTGCCAGAACCATAGTTATGATGGCCAGTAAGATCAGGCAGGGAAAGGGTAAGAAAGAAAGTAATTAATCCACACAATAGTAGGCAATGGGATAAGCACTTTATACATGCTATCACATTTATCCTAAAGCTTTCTTAAAAAAAAAAAAGCTTATTTTCTATTGTATTTTTCCATTTTGTAATTTGGATTATATGTTTTGTTCATAAAACATGAATATCCTGAGATATTCATAATACATAGCTGCATCCTCAGAGCCTAGTAGGGTTCTGGTTATTTGCAGGCTTTTAAAACATTTTTGAATAAATGAACTATCATGCAAGGGCAACATTACTGTACTTAAATGAGAAATATGAGCTTTAAAGAGATTAAGTTATTTGCTTAATTGTTGGGTTTGGCTAATAGTCATGTCCAGGTCTCCCTAATAGGAAAGTCTGTGTTTTAAATAAATTTACATGAAATGATATATATTTTTCTTTTTTCTCCTTTTTACCTCTGAGTTTCCCAGGTATTGCTTTATATTAAAAAGATACAAAATCAAAAGCAATAACATGTACAGAGGTTTCATCCAAATTTGGTTAAACTTGGAAAAATTCAAGCTGAAAGGTTGACTTCTGATACACCTGACACAATAAAGGTGTATATTAAGGCCTTGAACTAGTTGTGATTATTTAATTCTCTAATATGTGGATGGTACATCCCAGGACTAAACTCAATTTCTATTGGTGAAAAGCCCCAGTATATTCTGTTGTTTCAAAGTTTTGTCCTTTAGTAGGATAATGTTCACACAATTCCAGATGTGGAGATACTCAGGTAGTCCATAGGGGTGATACAGTTTAATTGAAGAACAAGAACCTATTTAAGTTTCTATCAAAATTATGACAAAGATTTAACTAATCCTTTATGGTATTTTTATTATAATACCATAGAATATTTGAGCTACAGAAAGGTGAATCATCTCTTCCAAGACAGATTTAAAATAAAATAGGTTAAAAATACCCGATATGATTCATGAACTCATAGGACTACTCAGAAAATAAAATTCTCTCTTCTTATCATGGAAATCCATGTTGCAGCTATCAATAAACAGCCCTCTGAGACATGAGACTAGATGGAGCATCTCATTTTCCTTCCTAATAGGACTCTATTAAGGATGTGTCCACTGTAGATTTTTCACAATGATATTCTCTGGACACTGATACAAACTATGAGAGGCAGAATCCTAAAATGGCCCCCAAGACCGACACACCCCAGTGTGTATGCCCTGAATAACCTCCAAGGCTGTGTATGATGGGTCTTACTCTGTGATTAGGCATGTTACATGCCTAAAAAAAAGGAGATTCCCCCGGGAGGGCCCGACTTAATCACATGAGCCTTTTAAATCTGGGCCTAGAGATCAGTGACAGACATCAGTGAGCTTTGACGCATGAGAGGGATTCCATGTGAGAGAACATACTCCATCATTATCTCTGAAGATGTCAGGGGCCATGGGGCAAGGGCCAGAGAGCATCCTCTAAGAGTTGAGAGTGACCTACAGACAACAGTAAAAAAAAATGGCGATCTCCAAACCCAAGCAACTGAATTCTGCCAACAACCCAAATGAGCTTGAAAGCAAATTCTACCCCCAAAGCCTTCGGAAGAGAACTCAGCCCAGCTGCCGTCTTGATTTCAGCCTTGTGAAAACCTGAGCAGAGAACCCAGTCACATCGGGCAGGACCCTGAGATAATAAATGAGTATTGTTTTTAACCACTAATGGTGGAAGTTTCTCACAAAGCAATAGAAAATGAACATACAGACTGTTGATTATTAAGGCAAAAAGTAATAAGACATTTAAAGTGGTCATTGATATGTTATGTATAAGTTGTCTAGTAAAGCAAATTGAGAATTCTAGGTTAAATACTTGCCTTCTGAAGTCATTTACAATCCCTAATCCAGACAGCAGGAAAGTAAAATAAACATGACTTCGAAACATACCTACTGGGTTTCAGTACCACAGAGAATGCTAGGTTTGCTTAATTCTGGAGGCACAGCCTGCTAACACAGTAGTTACTCCCTTACTCACAGTTTCACTTCCACTGAGCCCAGAGTTCCGACCCCGCAAGGCCAGAATGGAACTGATGTTGCTTACGTGCCAAGGAACTAACATTTCTCTTCACTTTTGCAATGTCAGATATTTCTTTGTATTTCTCAAGTACAAATTCTTGAAAGAACAATGAATAATATGTAGGCTGGCAGGTTTAAAACACTAAGAAACGCTCTTGGCTTTTGATTTTTGAAATCATGATTAAAGGTTACAATGCTCAAAATATTATGTGAATAAGCTAAATTTATATTCCCACTATAATATGCTCTGGGACATTGAGTCAGGTGAAGTCCTACAAAAGTCACATTCAAAGACACCTGTAAATCCCCATTACATTCAACTAAATCTCTGGGCTTGGTGATGACAATTTTCCTCAAACAGTTATAAACTGATCATCCTGACCTCCCACTGAGAGCAAAAACTGATGGCCAACCAAGGCAACTCTCCAGAACTGACTCTGCTATTCTGACAGCATGCCAGTAGACAACTTATTATATGCCAGACTGTGTCCCTGCAGAGTATTCTGAGGTAGACCAGATGCCCATATAACGGCTCACTCCTGGGTCAGAGGAAAGGGTAGGCCAATGACATTCAAGCTACAATAAATAGATTTCTTCATCAGTCAGAATATGTACAAGATAAAGAGACAGAAAAGAGCTCGGCCATAATCCCATCTGGCTGAGCAGTTCAACAGAAAAGGGAGGAAGGAGGTAATTTGAAGAAATTATTATATTATCAGACCAAAGGAGGGGAAGGGTCTAGTCAAGGAACATGTATAAATAACCCATGGACATGGACAACAGGGTGGGGACGGACTGTAGGAGTGGGGGGTGGGCAGGGCTGTGGGAAGCGACCGGGGAAAAATTGGGGCAGCTGTAATAGAACAACAATAAAATTTAAAACATTTAAAAAAAAATAAACCTTTTCTCAGAAAAGAGTCCTATAATCAATGTGGAAATGGCAAACCAAACAGCCCCACCCACTCAAGGATGAAACACTGGAATGGGAGTTCACAGATACAATTTCTTTGGCTATTCTGACCAATGTGCATTTTTTATAAATTTGCCATCAAAACACTCTACACTCAGTGTAAATTCTGATCCAGGACAGAGTCACCGGAGAGAAAGTCGGTCCTGGGGGAAATAAATTAGGTGCCACTTAAACAGAAGTGTTAACTCGTTCAGGTCACTGCATCTGGAATTAGGGTAAATACGTACACACAGTGGCAGAAATAACTGAAGATTTTGTAACTACTAATTGTTTGGAAATAAGGGAAAGCAAATGCAAAACAACTCATTTCTGCTAGTCTTTTGGGATTTCCACATCTTGTACCAACCGGTCTCACTGAGGCATGGTTGGACAAAACTGCCCAGAGAATTCACCTTAGATTCAATTCCGTTTCTTGGAGACTCTGAAAGCAGTGCCAGCCACGCTGAGCATCAGGTTTTCAGAATCTCCAAAGAGATATTCTGCCTGATTGCCAAATAGTTACTTCAAAAACCTCATTGCACAAATGGTTCACTGGGGGTAAAATTTGCCAAAAGATTAGAGTCTGGTGTTAAATGCTGATGTTTAATAAGCAACAAGAGAGAAATCAGAGAAAGAACAGAGATAAAAGATCTTAACGGGCTATGCCAATTGTAAAACAAATAAACAAATAAAAATGTATTAGCCTGGTCGTAACATTTTTACTCAATTGACCCACCGATTTGTGACCTACTTTTATGCAAGCAATCAATCACTCTTTTTCCAAAAGCAGTTACTTTATACTACTATGAGAACCCCTAGTAACATAAATACCTGAATATCTCTTATCAAAAAAAAAGTATAAACACTGGGATTTTTGTCTACTCAGGCCATTTCAAAAAGCACAGTCTTCGGAGTCAGACGGGCATGAGTTAAAAGTACCACTAGAAGAGTCATTACGCATGTCACTTAGCCTCTCTGAGCTTGTTCCTCGCATTCATATAATGATAAATGTTTATGTAACATATGACTTACAGGTAATGACACCATACATATATTGCAAAGCAGAACACCTTTATATAACAGCGTAGTCAGTGAATGCAAATTCCCTTACTCATCCTCGCCAACCCCCATCTAATTTTAATGCAGGCACACAGCATCATTGCATTCCAGGACCCTCCTGCCACCTGCAGTAACTAGCTACGGAAAACGGAAAACCTAACATGGAAATGTAACAGGTTGATCTAGTAGTGATGACTTTCAGAGCTGACTGATGTTTGTTCCCATTTTTGCCACGCTATGATACTGTGACCCTCCCCATCCCTGCAACAATTTCAGGAGCTATAGATCTTAGGGCCCTTCACCGGCTTTCCAAAAGTGTCTGGCAGAAATTTGCCTCTATTAAAAATCATGTGCTCTCCTGGCAAAATCCCACAAGAGCAAGCACTTTTCTCATACAATGTGCTCCCTAGATTAAAGGTTTGTGTACCAAAGCACATATTAACATCCAGGTCAGAGTAAAACAATTAGTTCATGTATGGAAGTGTCCCAGGCTTTGAGCCTGGAGAGGGAGGGCAAGCATGCCATCCCCGAGTTTCGGCGGACAGCTGGTGGCAGAGCGTGCCTGGCCTGCTCTCTATCCCGCTTCACCGTCTGTGGCCCACCCCAGGCCCAAGGGGCCTGCACAGGAATTTGTTAAGCAAATGTCTTACAGCACCCTTATTTAAAGCTAATCCCTTTGACACGCTTCCAAAAGCTATGATCTAAAGAACTCTAGAAGTTCCTTGATTTTCCCCCTTGTTTTTTCTTAATCTCCAATCTGCCTCCCTTGGCTGCTCAGCATTGACTAACAACAGTCTCTTCTGATAAATCTGCCTACAATGTACATGGGAAATCCTCTCCATCCATCTCTGCCTTTTTTTTTTTTTCTGTGCATGTGCATTACTTTCCTGAAGGTTATCAAAAATTTAGAATGTGAAAGTGTGGACATTAATAAGAAGACAGCAATATGGCAATGACAATGCATCACAAAAATACAGGACAGACAATTACTATTAATTCAGTGCATAGTAGCTCCAAAGATTCTAGCTACAAAGCAGTTGTGTAAAAAGATAATAATTCATCATTATGGGACAAACTTTTGGCTTCTAAAATCCAAGTTTCAAGTATCACAAAGCAAATATCACTATTATTTCAAGCATGCTTATGGAGACAAACGCATGCATACATTCATGTACAGTCCAGTAATTTATAAAAATTCTTCATAATAATGAGCACGCTGGCCTAATGCCCACTTAAAACGAGTGCGTTTACTAACACCTGTCTTTCACGGACAGTAAGCCATCCACTTTCCAAGGCTTTTGTAGCTATTGCAAACTAAATTTTAGACCCAGAAAATGAACATGTGCTTTGGAACAAGTTGACATATTGCCATTTAACTTAAATACTTGAGGGTCTTGAAGAGGCTATTTCACATCACATCAAAACCTTAGGAATTATCAACAGGGAATGAAAAGATGGAATTTTCATTTACGCTAAATGCAGGGAAATCCTCTTACAATGAATTCACACTGGGCCAGGAAAGGTGACTAGCAGGGCAGTTCTCTCCCCCATCTCTTCCTCCCCAATCCCAGCTTGTTCTGGCCTTCAGCATAATTCCACATCCCTAATCCACTCATTCTAATATCTCCCTGACCCAACCAGATAAAAATTCATCCTCCGTCTCTCTGCTTACTACCATTCGTTTCCTCTGATGGCCCCTACAGAAGAGTTAGCACATCAAACAGCCAAAGCAAACCTGGGCTTCAGGTGAGGTCCACGTTCTTTGGCTTTATCTCCCCTGTCATGAATTTCCAGAATAGCCTATCACATGACTTCACCGCAATTACTAGACATATTAACTGGATAATTTTCACTGTAGACAGTTCAAGGTATACACAGGGACAGCACAGACGTGACCACCACAGCCCCTAGAGGTTTCAAAGCTTTTTAAGAGACACATTTCTATGGCATTTCAAAAGGGAACTTTCTCTGCATGTAACATAGCAGAGGTCATTTCTCCCTGAATTTCATCATGTTATGCCCTATAGCATCATTTTATTCCCAAGCCTAACCTATTTCTCTGCAGAGCTGTACTTGAACATCAAATATTTAAGACTAATCCTCAATTCTCAAAGAATTTTATGGTCAAGTCTTCATGCCCCTGAAAAGGAAACGGAAAGTGAAAAACAATTCTCTAGTACTACTTTCCTAGAGAGGAAACATAGCAGATTACAATCAGATCACAGGTACTACATATACTCAGTCCACCAGATAACTCCTGGCTCTGTTAATAACCTAATAAAGCCATGCACACGATACTGGGGGTGGAGGGAGGGGATCTGAAAAATGCATAACTTTGTGGAAGCCCCCCTACCTACTATCTCACCTCATTTTGAGAAACAGCCTCATTTTTTAGAATAATCAGGTTCCCAGCACTCTGTCCACTTTGGCCTGTGAGGTGCCTGCTGTCACTTGCTGCGGCTTGGGCTCCCCCAGGCCCAGGTCCTGTCTGTGCCCCTGTGTTGTAAAACATGAAAGTGTCACTCCCTGAGCCTGCTGTCAGACAGGCCTTGTAGCAGTAGGTCTTGGTGAGGGAGCCGTTCCCTCGCACTTCAATGAAGTGAGGCTGCACTTTGAGGCCGTGTGGTATCCTGGCATCGATGTTGTTATTGGCCTGTTTGTACAGGTCTGTGCGGCACCGCTCCCTCACTCCACAGAAGCCTCCGCAGCACGCAGTGCCATAGGCAGTGTAGCGGTAGCACTTGATGATGCTCAAAACAATGATTGTCAAAAGGAATATAAAAGATACTGTGCTTAATGCTATTATTAGGTAAAGTGTAATTTCAGAGTATGTCCGAGGACCCCGAACGTGTCTCTGAGTGTCAGGGAGGATTTTGGAAACTCTGTCCACCACAGCTACCGTAATGGACACAGAGGCTGATAGAGAGGGCTCTCCGTTGTCTCGGACCACCACGGTCAGGTTGAAAGTGGTTCCGCTCTCGTCTCCTATCTTCCTGGTAGTCCTAATTTCTCCCGTGTGGAGCTCTACTTTAAAGAGGTCCAGGTCAGAGGTCTGGGCCAGATGGTAAAAGAGCCAAGCGTTTTGCCCAGAGTCTGAGTCCATGGCTATGACTTTGGTGACCAGGTAGCCAGCAGGGGCAGTCCGAGGCATCATCTCAATGGCTGCTGATGAATTGGTTGAGGTAGGGTACAGGATGTAAGGGGCATGGTCATTCATGTCCACCACATACACATTGGCGGTCACAGTGCTGCTCAGTGGTGGGCTCCCCTTGTCCTGGGCCTCCACAGTCACAAAAAACTCCCGAAACTTCTCATAGTCAAAGGAGTTGACAGCATAAAGGCTACCGCTGGCACTGTCAATGGAGACATAGGAGGTGACTGGCAGCCCTTGAATCTCCCTCTCCAGGAGGGAGTAGGTCACCTCTGCATTCTCCTTTTCATCTGGGTCTGTGGCTTGCACAGTGCAGAGCAACACGCCTGGCAAATTGTTCTCCTGGACATAGATGGAGTAAGAGTCCTTCAGGAAGCTTGGTGGATTGTCATTGATGTCAGAGATCTCAACCTGCAGCGTCCGCTGGGATGTGAGCTGTGGGATTCCCCCATCAGTGGCTGTCACTGTGATGTTATAGGCAGCCACCCGCTCCCGGTCCAGCGGGCCACTCACTACCAGTGTGTAGGAGTTTCCAAAGCCATTCAGTCGGAAAGGCAGTGTGGCCTCCAAGCCCAAGCTCACTTTCTGGTTGGGGCCTGAGTCTTGGTCATTGACACTGAGAAGGGCCACCACAGTGTTGAGTGCAGCATCCTCAGGCACTGGGCTATACAGGTCTGTAAGTACCACTTCTGGTGCATTGTCATTCACGTCCACGATGTCCACCAGCACCTTGCAGTGACCCACCATGGGCACTGGACCCCGGTCGGTCGCCTGCACATAGATCTGATAGGAAGAGGCCTCCTCATAATCCAGCGCTCCACTTACCCGCACTTCCCCCGTGATGGCATCGATGCTGAAGAGCTGCCTCTCCCTGTCTGATGTGTAGCTGCTCAAGGAATACCTGAGCTCTCCGTTGGAACCCTCATCCGGATCTGAGGCATTCAGCTTCACTACCAATGTACCTGGGGGCGCGTCCTCCCGAAGCTGGACGCGGTAAGTGGACTGGTCGAAAGAGGGAGAATTGTCGTTAGTGTCCAGGACGCGCACGGAGATCTGTGCCGTGCCGGACCGGGCTGGGCTGCCGCCGTCCACGGCTGTGAGAACCAGGTGGTGCCAGACTGCCTGCTCCCGGTCTAGGCCCTTACGCAGCACCAACTCCAGCACCTTACTGTTCTCCTGCAGGGGTTTCAGGTCCAGCTCGAAGTGCTCGCTGGGGCTAAGCTCGTAGGTCTGCACCGAGTTGGAGCCCACGTCGGGGTCCTGCGCACTCTCTATGTGAAAGCGCGCTCCAGGCGCCACCGATTCGCTTACCTGAAGCTGGTAATCAGACCGCGGGAAGCGCGGCGAGTTGTCATTGATGTCCAGTACCTCCACCTCCACGGCGCTCACCGCCACAGGGCTGTGCGCCAGCACTTCCAAGCTGAGCAGGCAGCGAGGCCGCTGCTCACACAGCGCCTCCCGGTCAATGCGCTCGTTGACGAAGAGCGCTCCGCTTGTCAGGTCCAGCTCCAGATAGCGCGGGCTCGGTGAACCCAGATGGTTAATGCGCAGGCAGCCTGGCCCCAAGCGCCGCAGCTCCAGCCCCAGCGCTCTAGCCACGTTGCCCACGAGCGCGCCGGGTGCCTGCTCCTCTGGCACCGAGTATCGTAGCTGGGAGGCCGCTGGGCCCGGCAGCAGCAGCAGCAGTGGGAGAGAGAGCAGCACCGGCAGCAACCAGGGCATGGGCGGACGGAGTCGTGTATGCTCTGTCGCCCCAGGTCTGCTGCTCGCCAGCTCCATAGCCACTGGCCGCGGCGGAGGCAGCCAGGCAGGGCCGGACACAGCAGCTTCCCCAGCCGGGCTCCACGCCCGGCCCCGCCTCCACCTCCGTTCTTGCTGCCGGGCGCTCGCTCCCTACGGCTCACGCGCTAGCAAACGCCGGGGGCCGCTCCCCTGGTAGACCCTCCGGGGAGCTCCTGGCCCCGCCATGCCGCTGACTCCCCATATTCCAGCTCCTCCGCTCGCTCCCGAGTCGCTCAGCTTGTCTTCGCTTCCTGTAGCCTCCGCGGCTGCTCCAGGGGGAGGGAAAAGGAAGCAGGGGAGGGGGAAGATAGTGCTCTGCTGATCCTGGTCCGATTCCGCACCGAGGTAGTGGACAGCGGCCACACTGCTCACTCGCTCCAGCCACTCCAGCCCCAACTCCTGCACTCAGGACCCGCCGGATCCCAGCAGACCGCGGGAACGCGGCCACTCCCTTTCTCCCTGCCCCCACGGTCCTGTTCACCCAGCCTCCACCGTCCCTCGACTGCTTAACGGGTCTTGTAAGGAGATTACTGTGGGAAAAGCAGTTGCCTCTAGGACTCGGGCTATCAGCTCCTCAGGAAAAGATTTCCAAGCCCAATAAGAAAAACAAACGGAAGGCCTTAGCTGAGCAGGGCATCTGGACGGAGGTTCCACGTTCAAAGGAAATAAACGCAGGGCAGGCGGGGGGTGGGGGCGGGGGGAGGAGCGCGGGAGCGCTCTGGGGTTACTGATGATGGAGATTGATTATTTACCTGACCCCAACATTTTCCCTGGAAAACTCGTAATTACTGCATGAAGTGTTCAACTCCTAGGGGAGGGGGATGGGAAGGGCTGTCTTCTTCCAGAGCAAACCTAAAACTAGCACTCTGGGATTCAACGCTCAAGTCTGACCCAAACCTTGTGGCCCTTCCTTTCAGTGTGTGCCTTGGCAAATAAACAATAGTTCAGGTTTTAAAATTCTCTCTTTAAAAATACGGCCCCGTAAAGCTGCAGGCTAAACTCTTATTTGACCCTTTTGATCATAGTAAGGGAATCTGGTAAAATTTTAAAGAGATTCTTCCCTCAAGCTTTTCCTTATTTTATTTCAAATCTTTTTCATTTGTCACCAAGACATTTTCTTTGTTCTTTCAAGAGTAATTTTTAAAATGTTCTTTAATGGATGACAATGTCTTCAAGAGCCCACAAAACCATTAAATCAAGAGTTACTCCTGATCTCCCAAGCCTGGCTGGAATTCGGACTCTATTATAATGCTTTGCAGTAAAAAGTCTGCTGTTATTAAGCAAAATGTGGGAGGCTGCGATTTATTTTACAACAGCCAGCAGTTTCAATGGCTGCAGCTCACCTTCCAAAAATATAACGCTCCTTTGCATCTCTGAGCTTCAGCTCCCCTAAGACTCCACCTTGCGCTGCTGCAGAGGCAACAAAAAGACAACCACTTCTCTTCTGTGAACAAGAAGGCAGAAAGACCACAGGAATCCTTTCCGTGCTGTGTCATTGCCTCTGCACCTCTGTTCTGAACATACTCTTCCCAAGCCTTCTGATTCCACAAGAGTTAAAATCCACTGCCCACATGCAAAAAGCACTCACTAAAATGTCCTTTCTCTTCTTCATCTCCTAGCACCCTCTCACTCCTCGCATCTTCCTCTGTGGGTCATTTTCTAGCTATGAACTGGAACAAAGCCAGACTAAGACCTGATATTTGCATGCTTTCCTTCTTAAGGGGGTAGCTTCAGAGGCCAAGGCAATGGTTCTGAGAACCAGATTTCAGAGGCCTGGACTAGCACATCCCTTCCTTCCACCAGCCAGGTACACTCACTGACAACACTCCCCAGCCTAACCAACTGTATTCTGGAGAAGCTCCCAAATTCCCACTACCACTGCTGCTTCGTACTTGCCCTCTGCTCCCTCAAGAGTGCAGAGTGGAGAGCAATTTCCATCACATTCTATTCCTGTCTTCTTTCTTAGGTCTCTGGCTTCTCCCAAAATGTCCCTATTGTAACTTTGTCTCTGTTTGCTGTGGTAATTTGATCTCAGAAAGCCTTAAAGTCTCAAGTGCATGAATTGGCCTTTGTCTTCACCCATTACTTACTTCTGAAAATAAATGGCTGATAAGTGGAATCAAGTTATAAGTTGTCAGGAAGAGTGACCTTTTCTTCCCTCATCTCCTCCCAGGCCCTCACAGTCGCGGCCTCGTCTGCCTGCAGCTCAGAAACCAGGCCACTGGGTATTGACCGTGCATGGCCCTGTGCCCCAGAAGAGATCACAGGCACTTAAGGAGGAGATTAATGGGAGCCCCCAGCTGTCACATCTCAGGAGAGAAAGCAGGGCTTGTCTTTGAGCAATTTTGTCATCTTCCAGCAAGGACACCTGCCGGGTTGTCCATTTTGCTGTGTCAGGATCATAAGCTTCAGCTAGTATTTATTCCCTCAAAGACTGAGAAGGCAAACACAGAGCCCACAGAATCAGCCACCTCAAAGACATTGTACTGAAAGGTGGTATAACCTGTATTTGGCGCTACAATGATTTAGTTCCTTGTGCTGTTGTACTTAGCCTCTTGTCAACTTCACAAGTTGGTGAAATGGGATTACTTAGACTGCTGGCAAGTGCCCTGTCGAGGAGTACTAATGCTAATGCCTCAAACACACTATTATGCATTTCCTTCCCTTGGATCTTCAAGAAGCCCCTATTATAAAGCAGAATAGCACAGTGATTAGAAACACAAACTTTGGAGTCAGTCACATCCCTGCCAATGACTGTGTGGCCTTAACTATGTTACTTAACCTAAGCTTCAGTTTACTCATTTTAATTAGGGACAACAATATTAAGTAAAACTCGGTGTCATGATTACTTGAGATGATGTATATGAAACAATGTGCATAGTGGCTGACAAGTACATTATTACTATTATTATTAAAATGCAATAATTTATTATCGTCAGCTAATAATTTCTCATCACCCTAGTTGACAGTCTATATATGGCAAGGCCCTTCAGGTATTAAACACAGATAAGCACCTGTAACTATGCCAGACAGGAAGTAAATGATGACAGGGAAGATGAGTGTGCACCAACATTATGCTTTCCCAATTATTTCTAGAGTTTATCCTATATTTTGAAAACAAAAAAACACTCCCTTTCTATGTCACCAAGGAAAAGGGACATCTGTCGTAAGTATTCCTTCAAGGGATTTATTTCCTCACAAGTCACCTTTTTAGGATATGTGGAAATACTTTAGCCGGAGTACAGACAAGTTCCCAAACATGCTAACATCTCCGCGCCCGGGACAGATCTGGCACTGGGGTACCTAATGAATGTTTTTGTGAACGGAACTGAATTTAGAATTTTACTTGTACAATTCCCTCAAGTGGAAGTAGCTGTTTTTTTCTCCCACTTTCTGAATCTTATATATAATACAAGGTCCATCTTAAAACTGACCTAACCCATGAAACATTGTCTATTCTAAACATAATGATCTCTTTTCTCTCTCGCAGCCTGCCACGTATCTCTGAATGCCAACATGTGTCATTCTTTAATTCTTCAAAATTCTTTAATATTATTTCTTTACCTTAATTATAAGCAACTTGCAAGCAGAAGCCATGTCTTATATTTCTGTGTATTCTTCACAGAGTGGGAAACCTTAGAAACTCTCAATAATTAGTAATGATTGTTTCATTTTCTTCAGATCTGCTTTTAGAAAATTCAGAAAGAGCTGCTTCAATTCAGGCACTTGCTGTTTGCTGTGCATGGATAGACCATGTCTAACAGAGAGGGGGCTCAAGAGCCTACAGTGATTTTACTACAGTTTGCTTCCTTTAAAATTTGAAAATCAAAGTATTTCTAACCTGGAGACTCTAAGAAAGGCTCTTCCCCAAAGTATTACATTATCACTCTTTCTGTTTTGTATTATAATTATAAAATGAATGTATTCCTTGCTCATAGCTAATAAGAAAAGTGACGTGGTAAGACAAGTACCATGATAAGACATGGTTTTGTTTACTCCCCTGCTAGAAAGGAACTCTGAAATAGTATCCCTCCATTGTCTCCCTTAATTGTATTTGTAAAATGCATCTATCATGACGTTACTGGGCACAAGAGCAAAACTAATTACAATACAACTCTATTAAACCTATAAAAAAAACACAACACTGGCACTCTATGAGCTCTCCTAATTCCCATCAATTTTCCTTTCTCTATCATTAGCATCAAAAATCATTTTATTTTAGGGAACCAAACAATCTGGAGCCTTTTGGCCTCAGGTCACAGGAACATACCCATTCATTTGATCAGGCTTTGGGTTGACCCTTAGAAAAATATCTGCCAAATAGGGAAGGACCTAATTTTCATATTAAGTTGTGTTTTCCACAATCCAAGCACATGATATATAATTTAAAAACAGAGACAAATGAATATCCCAATGTTTAGTCCAAGGTAGATTAAAAAAACTCCATCTTGTTATGAAGGAACAGGACTTCTTGTAGATATCTCCAGCAGGGAAACACTCTCCCATATGATTACAGTGTTCTTTACAGGTAGAGCACCCGGTGGATGTGGAAGTAACACATTCCCCTCCCTGCAGAAGGAATACATTATCTTTTAGGGAGAAATCCTCTCAGTGTTTAGTTCTGCAATGTTTAGTTGATTCTAAGCCATGAGAAAATTGCTCAGAATAAACAAAAGGACTCAAACTATCTTTGGATGAGTAATAATAAAAAGGGAAAATAGGTTGAAGGCTTGGGACAGATTGTGCAGTGTTAACAGATAAAATCAAACTATTCAATTTTTGGGGAGTTTGCTTCTGTGTCCACATTCTCAGCTGAGATGGCCTAACAAAAATCACAGAATGTGAAAGGTTCAGAGATATTTAGAAACTATCCCATCCAAATTCCTTATTTTTCATTGAAGGAAGTGTTTAAGCGAAACCTGAACCTCAAGATCAGTGAGGAGACATGAAGTGTGAAACCAAGAGTATGTAGCAAGATAATGATCTTACAAATGTGACCAAAGAAACAAATTTTCTATTTTTAAAGTGTCATTGAGCTTGATATAAATTCCTTCAAAACTATAATATTACTAACATGACTGTTTATTAGCACTTAGAAATGAAAACATTCATACTAGGGACTGTTTTTTTAACTAAACACTGGTAACATAAAACCAACCACACAGACAAAAAATTTACATAGGCATTTTCGATTTTCAGTTGCTGAAGTCATTGATAAGGGAAATGCTACAGACAG